TTGGGAATGTGGGAATGCGAACTGGGAATGTGGGAATGGGAATTCTAGGAATGGGAGCTGGGAATGGGAATTCCGGGAGTGGGAAATCCAGGAATGAGATTCCCAATCCCCTCCCCGGCCCCGCCCCGGGATTTTGGGGCACGGCCGAAATCTGGGAAAGGCCGAACCCCAAGGCAGGGACTCCCGGCTGAGGGGGGGATCGGGAATCCCAAACGATCGGAGCCTTTCCCAGGAAATCCTTCCCCTTCCCTCCATCCCCGGCTGCTCCAGGGAGCTCATCCCTCCCTCCTGCCTCAGTTTCCCGCTAGGAAAAGGGGGAAAAGTCTCGGCAGCTCCCGGAGGAAAGATCGGGATCTTTCTCTGGGCAAGGAATTGGAATTCCGGGCGGTGTCCGCACGGGAGCAGGTCCTGGAAGGGGCACGGAGGTGTCGGCGCGAGAATTTGGGAATCTGGAGGGAATTTCAGGTTTTCTTTCCTTTGGAAGGGATTGAATTGAAGAGAAATCGATCAGTCGATCGATCAATCAATCGATCAATCGATCTGGGGCGGACACCCGAGGGATTTTTTGGCTACAGCTCCGATCCCGATCCGGCTGGGACAGCTCCGATCCCCGGGATCCCTGAGCCGATCCCAGGGCTGCTCCAGGCGTGGATTCCCAACATTCCCGCTCCTTCCCTTTCCCCGGCATGCTCCAGCCATGTAGAATTATTGAAAAAAAAATTCAGATTCAGAGGTTTTTAAGGGGAATAAAATCATTCCCCATTTCCATGTGGGAATTCTGCTGGCCCCAGGGCTGAGGGACGGCGAAATTCAGCCCCGTGGGAAGCAAATCCCTCCTTTTGGAGGGCGATGATAAAAGGGTTTTGTTGTCTTTTATCAACTCACCCCAAAAAGGAGAAATTTTCCATCCCTGCAGCCCCGAATCCGGGGTTTTTTGGGAATGAAGAGAGCTCGTGTGGGATCTCGGTGTTAATTCCCGGGGTGTTCCAAGTTATTCCAAAGGAGGTTTGGGATTTGCTGCGGGTCGGGGAAGAAGGGGAGGGAGCCCGAAATTCCTGGGAAAATCTGGGATTGCCAGGTCGGGAATCTCATCCGGACCGTTCCCGAGCCTTTTCCACAAGGACGGGGACACCGAACCCCAAATCCCGCCGGGCCCGGAGGAAATCCCGTCCTTGTCCTGCCGGGAAGCGCCGGACTCGGGAATTTCCCATCCTCGGAGGTTCCGGCTCCTGCACCCACCCCGGCCGAGGGCTTGGATCCCAAAATTCGGGAATGAGGAGCAGCGGGAGCAGCTTCAGGCTCTGCCTCCTCCCCGGATCGAAGCTGAGGGTCCCGAACCACCGAACCCCCCTGGAATTGGAGTTTCCCTAGAATTGGCGTTTGCCTGGAATTGGAGTTTCCCTGGAATTTTGGCCGGGATCGAAGCAGCGCAGGTGCCTCGGGCTGGGATTGAAATCCGTGTTTGGCTGGGAGGGGTTTCCCGGGGGGTTCTTAATCCCATTGTCGTCTTCCTCCTCCTCCTCCTCCTCTCAGGGTGCTTTTGGGATTTGGAGTCCCCCACCCAAGCCTGGATTTGGGATTTGAGCTTCCCCGCCTGGATTTGGGATTTTGGAGTTCCTCAAGGCTGGATTTGGGATTCTGAGGCCCTCCAGGATTTGGGATTTGGAGCCGTGCCCCTCCCCACCAGCCCAAGCCTAGATTTGGGGTTTTGGAGCTCCCCAAGGCTGGATTTGGGATATGGAGCCCCTCAGGGCTGGATTTGGAACGCCCCCCCCCCCGCAGCCGGGCACTTGGAGGTTTTGCAGCTCGAAATTGGGGAGTTTTTCCAAAATCCCAGTTGGGTTTAATTTTTTTTTTTTTTTTAAGGCATTCAGAAGGTGAAAGCTCACAGGTTTGGAGCACCTCAGCCTGGGATTTATCTCCCTGGGAATTCCTAGAGGGATGAAAATATCCCGGGGGACTTTAGTGACTTCAAGGATTTAATCCTTAAATTGGGATGGGATTTTACACCCCTGCCTTGAATTTAAACCCCCCTCACTCCGGAGCTGCTGGAATCCCGGATTTTCCCTTTTCCCCCTTTTCCTTCCCCCCTCCCTTTTTTCCTTTCTTTCCCTCCTCCCTTTTTTCCCCTTTCTCCCTTCCCCCCCTTATTCCTCATTTCCTCCATTTGCCCTTTTCCCCCTTTCATTTTTTTCCTTTTCCCTTTCTTTCCCAATTTCCCCTTTCCCCCTTCCCCCATTTCCCACTTTCATTTTCCCCCCTATTTCCTCCTTTTCCCCCTTTCCCCATTTCCCTTTTTCCCCCATTTCCCCCTTTTTCCGGTTTCCCCCTTCCCCCCCCGATTTCTCCTTTCCCCTTCCCCCTTCTCCCCATTTCCACTGTCCCCCTCTCAATTTCCCCTTTCCCCCTTTCATTCTTTCCTTTCCCCCCTTTTTTCCCC